AGACAGACAGACAGACAGACAGACAGACAGACAGACAGACAGACAGACAGACAGAGAGAGAGAGGGGGGGGAGTGCGGGAAGTCCAAGAGTACCGTAGGCCTATTTTATGTATTCATGGGTCAAAGGTAGAGCCAATCATAGCCCGGTTTACGCCCTATGTGTAGTCGCAAGTAGATTAAAGGTTTCTCTACTTTAACTTCCAGGTCGTCGGGTACAATCGCGGCGGGGTTGTAGTATGCACTGAAACCACTAGAAAACGACCCAACCCGATCCGATCGCGTATGTGGGCACCCCCTATAAGAGCGAAAACCGGTTTTAAAATTTCCATTTTTAACAGCAAAGTGACCAGCGATCGAGGACAGAGCATGAGGGGGCTCAGGGACAGTTAGGTAGGGTTCACACTCGTCTGTCTCCTTCGTCTACTGATTTTGATGTACATGATAATCCTTCCAACAGTCTCATTTTTGGGGCTTTGATTATTTTTATAATGATCGCTTTTATTAAATTTAACAACAACAATAACTATAGTTATGAACCAATAATAATGTCACTATTTTGGGGTTTTTTCGTTGTTGTCATTATCATTATCATTATTATTAGTAGTAGTAGTAGTAGTAGTAGTAGTAGTAGTAGTAGTAGTAGTAGTAGTAGTAGTAGTAGTAGTAGTAGTAGTATTGTTGTTGTTGTCAACACTGTTAGGAAATTTTAGAGACCTTCGAGTTTAACATCCATCTCCGAAAGGATCAAGCCAAAACGGGAAATTCGAGCAAAGAGCTTTTCCGAAGGACACAACGTCAAACCCCGAAACCCACAATTTCACGATTACGGGTCTGGTAGCCTAACCACTAGGCTACCGACGCCACCGATGGTATTTTACCACGATAAGCCTGAACAACAGTAGCAGCTTCGGCAGCAACAACAGCAACAGAGTGCAGCAACAACAGCAGCAGCAGAAGAAGATCCACCATCACCAACAGCAAAAGTGGCAAAAACAGCAGCAGCAAAATTAGCAACAACAGCAGCAAACCCATGTGCTGTGGTCTGTCTAATTAGAATCGGTTCTTTGGTGTAGGCCTAGTGGTTAGGCGCTTCGCAAGAGATTTGAGTTCGATTCTCGGAGTGGGGAGAAAAATTTGTTATCGAGTATCTCGGTTTTCTTTGCTGGGATGTATCCGTCTCGGCCTGAGGTGGACCTAACAGATCAGGAATGTCGGGAACCCCCA